CGTGTGAAGGAGTGGCCTGGCCGTGCGAGTTTCGCCGAGAGCAAACACGGGCAGATGGAAATCCCACACGGCCGTGCGACCCTGGCCGTGTGGGAAGCCTGAAGATCAAACTAAGTGGAACGCAGCGTTTTGAATCACACGGGAACTGGGTAGGCCACACGGCCGTGTGGCCCTGCCCGTGTGAGTCGGGATTTCCTGGTTTTAACCCAATTTTGGGCTGCAAGAGAGGGAATCGGACTTTTTCAGCAAAAACAGAGCCCTAGAGAGAGAAAGGACGAAGAACACATCCTAGAAGCCATCTTGGAGCTGGGTTTCATCAAATTAAGCTTGGAGATCGTCATAGGAGTTGAAATCATCATCCCAGAGCAGATTTTCCTCATCTTTATGAGTATGACTACTTTGTATCTTGTTTTCCTCTCTCTCTCTATGGTGTAGAACCCCTCTCTCACTTGGGGATGAAGAACCCTAGTTCTATGTGTCAGGGATTGATTGTAATGACTTGGGATGAGATTACTGTTTGATTTTAATCGAATGATGCATGTTTATTGAGTCAATTGAAGTCTAATCAACTTTTCCTTATTCCTGCTGCAATCTGAGATAGATAGAATCTGATTAGGTTGCTAGAGTCTCATCATTCGATAGTAGGAGATTGGCTATACGAGAGTTAGCCAGTTTACTGCTTTGTACTGGAATCCAATTCCAGTAGTGGAGTTATGTTCTTACTGCTTCAGCTTTCTATCCCGGTGAAGACTAGTCGTCTGCCGGGTAGTTAGACTGAGAGGGCTTGGTCAGCTTAAGAGATTCCAAGCTACTGTCGGATCTTCCGCAGTCTAATCAACAGTAAATCAACCCAGGGAAATACAATTGAAACCTAACTAAGGAGCTAGGGGGACTCATTCCCGAGTGACTCTTACCTGCTTGAGAAAACCGTATCAATTCCTGCTTTATTTCTGCTTTTGCTTTTAAACAAGAATCACTTACTTTAGTTGGCTAGATAACAGAGAATCACTGAGTAAGCAGTAGATCTAGACCCCGGGTTGATAATATAACTTGCCTGTTACTGCATTCCCGGTCTGCGATTATACTTGGTCGCAGATTGGTGTTGTGTTTTGGCGTGTCAATTATTCCAAGAGCAACTTCTACAACTGCTTCTTCCTTGTCAATTCATTATAGTTTTAGCGAAATAGTAAATCATTTCCTTCACAATTCAAGTCCTTCTTTTGGTGTACATCATATCCATAAAAAGTTTGTTCTTGTTGCTCGTGGATCTCAGCTTTGTTTTGGGTTAATTGTGGAAGAATTATTTCAAAAGAAGTACAGATGTTAAAGACAAAACTGGATCGGTATGTTGGAATTTGCAGCTTTGTTAACTGAAGCTGCCAGAGAGGTATGATCAGCCTTGGCAGCAAAGCAGCTAGTTGTGGAATGGTTCGGCTTGGTAAAGTTTTGAATGACATGATTTCATTGCGGTTTGCGGTTTAAACCGCAACCGCACGGTTTCGGTTTGAACCGACCGCAAACCGCGAACCGCATAAAATGTAGACCGCATCCTTGACCGCAAGCTTAACGGTGCGATCCGGTTTGACCGCATATGCGGTTCGGTGCGATTTGGTGCGGTCGGACCGCACCGATGCCCACCCCTACGAGGATCGAGTGAGAGAGGAAGAGGGCGGTGGCCAAATTAGAGGGACACCTTTTCCCCTAGGGTTTCGCTAAAATTACATGCCTTGCCCCCGCGCTCTTGTGAAATTACCAAGATATCCTTCCCCCCCTTCGCTGCACCAAAACGAGAAATCAACAAAAAATGTAGGTAGCGAGTTTCAAACCAGCGTCCTCAGCAACGAATGCGCTCTCTGCCTAGCAACTTAACCAGTTGGGCTGCTGGCCCATCATGAGTACTTATAATCATCATGCTTAGTTTTATTTGTTTAAAGTCCTTAATATGAAATGTTAAATGCGGATTAAGTTAGTTTTGCTTATTTTCCAATACATCGAATTTCTTCATAATAATTGAAATCCTTGCATTCATTTAGTAACATCATAATAACCTAATTAAAATTCTATTAACAAAATTACAATGCAAGAATAACGTTCAGTGGAACGTGATAAAAGTTGGGATTAAAACTATCAAAGCTAACGAAAACCCTTAATACGAGAACCATTATAGGTGTAACATGACAAAAGCATACAATTAAATTATCAAAGTTATAACGAACTACGTGGACTTTGATCCAATCTAATGGGTACGTAGGCAGCCAGTAAGGTTCGAGTCCAACTAACCAATTAACTTTATCTTTTAATTTTATGTCGGTGGACGTATAATTATATTACAACTAATACGATTTAAATTCATTAGTGGTCCAGTAAGGCCCTAAAAATACCTAAAATATCTAATCATAATCTAATACGTCAATGGACGTTTAGTTAAATTATGCTTAATGAAATAGCAATATAGTAATGGTCTAGTGGGACCCTAACATTACAAAATTATTACTAAAAATACACCCAATTGGTATAAAACTTCTCAACTTAAGTAGTACCAATTTAGGGCGTTGTGGGGTGTGATTTCACTTCCCCACAAGCAACCGCACACACGAACCCGAATCTCTTAACCGCAGACCATATTTCGGTTCTGACCCTAAGGTTAAAGCCGATTTGAAGAGTGTTCGATCGACTCCAAGTAAGATCGATGGCGACTCCCAAAAAGCGAACACGACCCTGATGGACCCCCGGAGGGACGGTTGCGACAGATGGCGACTCCGCTGGGGATTTTGAGAGTCGAGCTACATAATTAAGTTCGATAAGTTTTCTATTTTCCTATTACGTGTTGGGTGTTTACTTTCTTATTTGCTCAATTATATTTTCGCAATTTAATTCTGCATTCATGCATAAAAGCTCTATACCCGAGCTATCCTATTAGAAACGGAAAAGGAGTACCGTGACTTTCACAATAGTGGAAAGCACGCAAAACTTTCCAACCAAGTTGAACTCACATCTGAGAACTAAACTTTTGCCCTATCCTTGTGAACTTCTCTGTCATTATCATAGGATATACTCGATCACATACAAAAAGTTGAGATCAATGCCAATATCCACGAGAAATTTCCCACCATCCGACCACTTTGCTCAGGCAACATTGCCTGGAGCCCTCAAATTTTTGAAATTTGGGCATACAAAAGGCTCCAAGCATCATCACACTCACACAAGCATGCTAGTAGACTAACCCCCCCTCCCCCCCACACACACTTAAACTCGACATTGCCCTCAATGGCGTAAGAAAGGGGTAGAATGATGTTACCGCTTGGGCTTGGTGAGTGAATTTGGGAATCGAACCGGGGTAGGATAATTGAGCTTCAAGGAGAGATAAAACATACACACAAACACAATACGAATCACTCGAGGCGAGTTTATTACAAGCACAATACATAGTAGTAGTTTATTTCACACACATAACTCACAAAAACAAAAACAAAACAAAAAAAACAAAAAAAAAAACGAGTTCAGGTGTACAAGTTGAGAAGTGGGGTGAAAGGACTCCGCTCTGCCACATGTCTCACTAGTCGGCTACCTCTCTCCGGTGGATGGACCCTCTCCATCATTGGGTAGGATCTCCTGGTGGTGAGCCATAAGCTCAAGGATGTTGGACTGCCGGTCGAGACGGGATGAGAATCCCATAAAACTCGTCTCTAGGCGGTCCACCCTCTCGAAGAGGGGATCACCTTATGCTAGTGGTAGTGGCTGATATGCAGGGCGCTGGAGCGCTGGGCGCCGCCAACGGCTGGGTGCTCGATCAGGTGGCTGCTCTACTGGTTCTGGGACCTCGGGGTCGGGTTCCATTGGATCCGGTGCTACTTCAGCTCGGATTACTCCCGAGGGTCGGAGTCCGTCGAGGTACTCCACTCCTCGCTCGCCCTGGAGTACTAGCTTCTGGACATACAATGTCTCCACTGGGAAGGGCTCCATCCTTCCGACTTTCGTGCAGCGAGATAGATCTACCTGGAAGTGTCGGGCTATCCTCGTGATGATGCCCCTCATATGCATCGTTTCCACTCTGTTCCACCCCAGACACCGGGCGAAAGAAGTGGCGATCAACGATCCCAAATTGATCAACTCAGCTGGACTCCTCATTGAGTAGAGGGAAATGAGCCCTCTATTCGTCATCAAGTGGCCTGACTGGAGGCTGGGGACGACTGATCTAGTGAGTAGAGTGTGGAGGATCTTCCACTGGGTCTTCAGCTTTATCGCTGTGGTGCGACTCCCCTCGAACTCGTCCTGCTAGTTCTCTGGGCAGCAGAGGGCTCAGAATGCGCCTTGATAGTTGAAGTCGACGGTTACACCCGCTCCGTCATCGTCATATGGGCGGTGTCGAGGCCCATGGCCTGAGCAAAGCCATCATAGGTCAGCACTCGTGGCTGACCTCCCTTCATAAACTCCACCCGTGGCCGGCTCTTCTTGCTGGCTGGGACGATGTGTGAGAAGGTGGAGTAGAAATCCACGCACAGCTCATGGAAGATCTCCTCGACCATGGTCAAGAGCAGGCGCCACTGGGGATGGCAAAGAACCCCAGTCATGGAGGCTCGGCACCTGAACAAGTTAAACATGTCCAGGTCCAGCCGCTAGTGAGGCTCAATTGGGCTACCACTCAGGTAGGCAAACTTGTCGCCAAACTCCAGGTGGTTCACCAGATAATGAATGAACTCATGCTCCAAGTTAAGCATCCTGCACAAATGAGAAACATACACCATACGTGGAAACAATAGTCAAATAATGCTCATTGGAAGGAAAAGACATTCCCCCCACACTTGTTTTTCCACCATGGTTAAAACATTCAAGCTCAAACCACCGGGGCATGGTTGTGGGTAATTTACGGTTCAATCACACAAAAAGTTGAATCACAACCCTTACCATGGTGGCTACCATCCACCGAACCAGAATAAACTCCACTTGCATTCATAACATAGCACTTGGTGGGCAAATTCAAAAAATAAACACAATTCGATTCAAACACGCCGAGGAATGTCCGTGAGATGCTTCAGTGGATGGTGATGAAGAAGGTTGCGCCGAGGCTCAAGGACTGGAGGAGGAGGAGCATCAGGCGAAGGAACATCAAGAGAAGGCGGCGAGTTCTGTACCGAAGAAGAGGATGACCCGTCGGACGAGGTAGCCTCCTCGACCTCGACAGGTTGCAATGATGATGAGTTCTGGAGAGAATCAGAAATATCATCAATGATGCGATGAGGCATGATGAGCTGATCCTCTGTCGCATTCTCCATGGGGAAGGAATTCCCACGTAGCTCCTTTGACTTCTACGGGAAGAGGGACTTAAGGAATTGGACATCGCGAGAAGTGTAGATGACATGCTTCTTGAGATCGTAGACGCGGTATCCCCATTGAGTGGCGGGATACCCAATAAATACTCCTGACCTTCCTCGATCCTCAAACTTGTCAAGGTTTTGATGAGTATTCTTGGCGTAAACAACATAACCAAGCACACGCAGATGCACATATGACAGAACACACCCAAACAACACTTGATAGGGGCTCTTGTTTGCAAAGGAAACTAGAGGCATACAGTTGATTAAGTAAGCAGTTGTTAAAACACACTCACCCTAGAAGCGGAGTGGCAAACCCGCATGTAGTCGTAAGGCATGAGCCGTCTCAAGGAGATGGTGATGCTTATGCTCAAGGACCCCGTTTTGTTGAGGCGTGTACGTGCAAGACGTTTGTAGGATAATGGCTTCATTCTCATAATAATCACGCAGCTAGGCAGTGGAAAACTCTCAACCGTTATCCGCTTGAATGTGGCGAACAACGGTAGTATGAATAGTACTGTTCTCAAAAGGAAGTCTAATATGTTTAGCCCGTAAACACGAGTCACACAGGTCTTTATTGAAGACTAAAGAACTAGAAATGTAAGGCTGAAGTCCCAGGTTCGGCCTTTTAGGTAGATTTGAGCCAAAGGAGAAGGAGTTCCGCAATATAACTATCATTAAAACTGAAGTTGGTAAATTGCAATCCGGCTTAACTGCAGTCTAGGGGGAACCATATCCGGGTGACCTCTCTCAACTTGAAAACAACCGTTTAATTGCTTTGCTTGTTTGCTTGTTTGAACCTGCACTAAAGTTTCACCGCTAAATAATAAGAATTCGCTGAGTAGTCATCACATCTAGGACCCGGGTTGGCATTAAAACCCAAACCCGCTATACTATGCTTTAGGAAGTGGTTGCACTTGGCCATTTTCTAGAGTGACAGTAGGAGTGAGTCAAGGCGAAGGAGCACGAGGTCGTCCATGGCGTCATCGTAGGAACACGTAAGGCGGCCTGTAGCTTGAGTCGTCCCTGGCATCGTCGAGAGAACACGCAAGCTTAATACGCTGGAGCACGAGCGTCGCTCCAATCCCAAGCCATGGAGTCCAATCCCTCGCCAGTGCCGATTTGATTTTGATCGCGAGCACGGTCGTCAACTCGGAACTGTGATCCTTCTCCTTTGTCTCTCTGAACTCTCTGGTTGAGCTAGGGTTCTGGAAGTCAAGGGTTAACTGGTCACCCATTTTAGCCCGTTTTAACTCGGAAATATGAAAAGAGTCATTATATTGTACTTATCCTAATAAATTATATCAAATCTCATCTAACATATAACATTACACCAAAGTAACATGTCGTACTTAGATCCAACATATAGTGAAAATTCACACACACTTATATAACATCAATATTCAAAAATGTTCAGCTAAGGATTCCAAAGATTGAGTTAGGCAAAAAGAAAAATCAGAAAATAGGCGCATTTTGAAAACCAAAGAAAAAAATGACACAATTTGACCTCAAACCCGATACCTTGTATCGGTCGACTCGGCGGGTGCATGTGGCCCATTTTTCTCACCAAGTCAGGGTCAAAATGGGTCAACCCGCGGTTTGACAACCTTGATCGCAAATAATCCGGCTCCAACTCTGCCAAATTCCTTCTCCGCAGGTGAATTGGTCTTTGCATCAAGTAAGCACTGATAGTTATCTGTTGAGGTTAATGTTCTGATTCTTACTTTGTTGTGATGCTTTGGGGTGATTTTTCGTTGTGATTTTTCTACATAACAAAGGCTTATAGGAAAATGAGTTTGAGGAGGTCGTTTGAGTCCTTAAGTAGGCACCGTAGAAATTAGGTTAGGGGTTTTGAGTTTTCTAAAACCATATAATGATTTGTCTAACTTACAGACTTTCGAGGCATGTTGGGGGATAACAAACCCTTCTGGTTGTTCCATATAGATTTCTTCATCCAGATCACCGTTCAAAAAAGCAGTCTAAACATCCATTTTATGAACCACGAGATTGTTCAAGGCAGCAAGAGCAATCATGACACGAATGGATGTTATTCTAGATACTGGTGAATAGGTATCAAAGAAATCTATATACTCTCTCTGCCTGTAGCCCTTAACTACTAGGCGAGCTCAAAACCTTTCGATTGCACCATCCGGTTTCCGTTTCGTTTTTAGAACCCATTTATTACCTAAGACTTTGCAGCCAGGAGGTAAGTCTGTTAGATGCCGAGTATTATTAGCTTCTAACGATTCCATTTCTTCTATAACGACCTCATTCCAAAAGTCTACATCTATGGAAGTTAATGCTTCCTGCAAACTTTTTGGATCTTCGAGGGTGTATACTGTAGTAAAGTCATCACCAATTTTTTTAGAGATTCTAGCTCTTTTACTTCTTCTGAGTTCATCCTCAGATCAAACACCCCCACTAGTTCCGTTATCTCTAATAGCGGGTAGTACATTACCCCCACTATTTCTCGTTTTAAATGGAAATCGTGTCTCAAAGAAATCAGCATCAATGGATTCTATTATAGTACGAGCATTCAAATCATAGAATCTATATGCCTTACTATTGGCCTCATAGCCAACGAAGACACATTCATATGCTCGACTAGCCAACTTAATCCTCTTAGGTTCTGAAACTCTTACGTACGCCAAACAGCCCCACGTTCTTAAATAGGACAGATTAGGTGGCTTATTCTTCAAGATCTCATAGAGTGATTCTTTTCTATTTGTTTTTGGGACACGATTTAGCACATAGCAAACCGTCAACAATATATCACCCCACCAAGAAGAAGCAGCACGAGAATTGAGTGAGACGCTAAAACACAACACCAAACTGCGACCAAGTGTAATCGCAGTCCGAAAATGCAGTAAGTGGCAAGCTCTATTTGTCAACCTGGGGTCTAGTTCTACTGCCTACTCCATGATTATCTATTATCTAGCAAACTAAGTTGAGTGATTTTGATTTTTAACTAACAACAGTAAGAAAGCAGGAAATGGTTTGGTTTTCTAAAGCAAAGGAAGAGTCACTCGGGAATGAGTTCTCCTAACTCCTTAGTTAGGTCTCAGTTGTAATTACCCTGGGTTGATTAACTGTTGATTAAACTACGGAAGATCCGATAGTAGCTTGGAATCTCTTAAACTGACCAAGCCCTCTCAGGCAGACTAACCGACAGGCGACTAACTTTCACCGGGATAGATTGCTGAGGCAATAAGCACAAAACTCCACTACTAGAATTGGGTTCCAGTACAAAGCAGTAAATTGATTAACTCTCATATAACTGATTCACTACTACCGATTGAAGAAGCTCTAACAACCTAATCAGATTCTATCTATCTCAGGTTGCAGCAGAACTAAATAAAAGATTATCACACTTCAATTGACTCAATCAAAACACTTCAATCGATTATAATCAAGCAATATCACAATCCAAACGTAATTACAATCAAGATTCCTAACACATGGAACTAGGGTTCTTCATACCCAAGTGAGAGAAAGTTCTACTCCATAGAGAGAGAGATGAAAACAGTAATCAGAGTAGTCATACTCATAAAGATGAGGATAATCTGCTCCGGGATGATGATCTTCACTCCTGGGGATGCAATATGGGCTTCAATGGTGAGAAATCCACTCCAAATAGCTCCTAGGGTTTGTTCTTCGCACTTTCTCTCTCTAAAACTCTGTTTTTGCTCCAAAAAATGGACTCTCTCTCCTTTGGCTCGAATCTGCCTCAAAAACCCGATTCTGGGTGAAATACGGGCTGGATTACGGTCGTAATCATGGTCTGCCTGTAATTCACCCAAATCGCGCGTTTCACTAAACTCCGAGGAAGGTAATTACGGTCGTAATTACCCAATTACTGCCAGTATTTAAGTAATTACAACCGTAAATGAGTCCACTCTTGCCCGTAATTTGCTTTGAGATAGGAATTCTCAGAGATTTAGGCTCGGCATTGCATTTACGGGCATGATAGAAGCAAATTCGTCCATAATTGGGCAGGGGCTGCCCGTAATTCTTCCTCCCTTCCTTTTTATTGCTTTGTTTCTCCCTCGTCTGGACTCCAAATCAGTCGCCGTTTGAACCCAGAAGCTCGTAGTCTCATCCTCTTTCTTTTCATAACAAACTTCCATGATTATTAGTCCATAAAATGAGGTAGAAATCCATTATTCCTCAGGTCATGCTCGTGTTTCTTCTCCCGAATTGCCAAATGAATTCCGATTGACTTGAAACTTGCGTCTTTGCTCCAATTTACATGCTATGACCTGCAATGTGACAAAGGAACACAACCTAGCATAAAATAGTCCAAGATGGTAAAAACTCAAGCTAAAATGATCAAGAAACGAGGGTGCAATATGTGAAAATACGACGTTATCATTAAGCATAATAGCGACAACTAATTCTCTAAACGTCCTATTTTTCCGCTCAGCTTTACCATTCATTTCTGGTGAATATGGTGTCGTGGTTTCATGAATGATACCATGTGAGCTATAGAATTCCTTGAAGGGATTAGAGTCATACTCTGATCCTCTATCACTCCTAAGTCTTTTTATCTTTCGATTGCACTGATTTTCAAATTCAACCACAAACACCTTGAACATATCAAGGGCTTCACTTTTGTTTTTCATCAAATAAACAAAGCAATAATCAGAGCAATCATCTATGAAAGTGATAAAGTATCTCTTGCCATACCTAGTTAACGTCCCATCTAGTTCACAAATATTAGAATGAATCAGATCTAAGGGTTCTGATTCTCTACTCACAGCTTTATGAGGCGTTTTCGTTATTTTAGCTTGGCTACAGAAATCACATTTATCAAATTCTTTCATTGGGAGTTTAGGGATATGTCCTAGCTTGCTTAATTCTTCACAATTCGCGTGTTCACATGACAAAGACGAGCATGCCAAACATTCAAATCACACACCATGTAAACTGAAGAATTCATCTTATTAGTTTCGACATTTAACTTGAACATCCCATTACATGCATATCCCTTTCCCACAAAACTCACATTCTTAGTAAGGGTATACATGTCTCCCCAATGGTGCTTCTGTGTATGTTTTAAACATAGCACGATTATTGCATACATGCTTCGATGCACCTGTATCCAACCACCATCTTTCTGATTCACCGGTGAGGTTGACTTTAACGATCATATCCGTGATCACGGCTATCAAATCCTCTTATCCCAAGTTAACCCTGGCCGCAGCAACAGGGTTATGCTTGTTCATGCACTTTTTTCCATATGACCTGGTTTACCGAAGTTATAGCAGATAAACGGTGGGTCATTCTGAGAGGTTTGGACAATGACCCTTTGGTTACCTCAAGAGGCACCATTCTGGTGGGGGCGAACCTGCTGGGTCTTACTCTTAAACCCTTTCTGGTTAGGTTTAAGAGCTATAGGGGCGGTCGTTTAGCAGTGACGAACATCGCCTCTTCTTTCATATCCTACGTGCGGGACTCTTGCTCAATCCTTAGGCGAGTAATCAAGCTTTCCAGTGAAAATTCTTTGGTTTTATGTCTAAGCATATTCTTAAAATCTTTCCACGAAGGGGGCAACTTATCAATAATGCAAGCAACTTGAAATTGATCGTCCAGAGGCATACCTTCAGAGACGATCTCATGAGCTATTTTCTGAAGTTCATGCGACTGAATTTCGACAGACTTGTCATCCACCATCTGGTAGCGCAGGTAGCGGCTAACAGCATACTTCTTAGCTCCAGCCTCCTTCGTGTCGTACTTCTTTTGGAGCGCCTCACAGTTCCTCATTATGGTGTTCTTGTTATCTGCATAGGAAGTCATGCTCCCTTTCCTTAGCAGAAGCAGCCCTCTCCTCATCGGTCGCTTCTTCCGGCAGCTCGACGGGCCTGCTGGTGAGGTAGTGTGCCAACTTCTTAGTCGTCAGGTAGAACTCCATCTTTTGTCTCCAGCGAGGGAAGTTGACTCCAACGAAGCGAAAGGGTTGATTGATATCAAAAGAACCAGATCCGGCCATGTTATTCTGTTCAGTCGACATAGCAGCAGTCGAACGTCTTAAAATTGTTAGGAACGGAACAACAACAAGAACAAGGCTACCTAAATCTCTCAAACATAACCCTATCTCCTGTTTACGATAAGTAAGAAACTGCCAAGCCATTACTTCTTTCTTCCTTCCCCAGAACCAACACCACAAAGGAAATCACTACACATCTTTTTAATCCCTCTAATAACAACTTTAGGTAGAATAAATTTTGACATCCAAAACTGAGTTAAACTATATGATTCGGGCCTAATTGTACATATTTTGCCCCGTTTTACTTAGGTGTTTGTGCTAATTTCACTCCTAAAAGGTTGGTTTTACGCTAGGTTCCTCGTGTTTTAGTGTGTTTCAGGATTCAACTGGTCAAACCAGCCTGGGAGTCGAAAGTTGGGCGAAAAGGATCGAAGACCTGGAGAATAGGTGAAAAATGGCCAGTTGACAGCTTTCACAGGAAGTTCACGGTCATGCAAGATCATTAAAAGGAACCCTTGACTGTGAATCGCGAGGCGTCCAGAGCCAAAATGAAGGTAACTAACTAATGGTGAGTTCATGATCTCTAAGACCGTGAACAAAGGCAGTTGACCATGAACAAAAGTGAACGATGCGGCGCGTTTTGGTGCACGCCTGAAGTTCACGGACGCGTTTCATGGTTCAGGGCCGTGAACTCAGCTCGTCTCTTGTTTAAATGATGAGCTGAAAGGAGGAGAGAGGGGAGAGCCCATTTTGTGAGAGAAGCCTCCTTCTGAATTCTAGAGAGAGAAACACGAACAAAAGGATGAAGAAGGCTAGGGTTTTGCTTCAAGGTAGATTTTGGGAAGATTTCTTCCAAGGAAAGCTCAACTCAAAGGCCAAGAAGACTGGGAGCATCCTTCAAGATGGTTTCCACCTCTTTCCCTTTTGTTTTCTCCACTTCTAGCATGGAGTAGACCTTCTCTCACTTGGTGTTGTGAAACCCTAACTCTACCATGTAGTTTTCTTTTATGTGAATTAAATGATTGTCATTGGGTATTGTTTAATTCAATGATTGAGGTATTTTTCACAAGGTTGTCAACCCGCGGATTGACCCGGACCCGGTCGAGCTAGTGGGTCAAGGGTTAATGAGTCACCCGTTTTAGCCCGGTTTAGCTCAAAAATATGGAAAGAGTAATTATATTATACTTATCCTGATAAATTATATCAAATCTCATCTCACATATGAGTTATAGCTTATCATATTACACCAAAATAATATGTCGTACTTGGATCCAACATACAATGAAAATTCACACACACTTATATAACATCAATTTTCAAATGTTCAACTTAGGATTCCGAAGATTGAGTTAGGCGTAAAGAAAAGTCAAAAAATTAGGCGCATTTCGCAAACCAAAGAAAAAAATGACACAATTTGACCTCCAACCCGGTACCTTCTAGCGGTCGACCCTGCGGGTGCGTGCGGCCCGTTTTTCTCACCGGGTCAAGTTTAAAGTTGGTCGACCCGCGGGTTGGCAACCTTGATTTTTCTTGATTGATTTTTCATGCTTGTGCTTAGCAACTTAGAGGTTGTGCATGTTTTATTGTGGTGTAGTTTCGAGCGAGTCAAGTTTTTGGCGCCATTGCCGGGGACAACGGTCTGTTATCTTGAAAAAGTTGTTGGTTGTTAATCTAGGTTTTAATTTCCAGTTTTACAAGTGTGTGTGCTTTGCTTGTGCTAGACTTGGTGTGTTTTCCGATTGTGTGTAGGTGGTGCATGACCCGGAGTAACCCGACACCTTAGCTACCGCTTGACGTGGACATAAACAGAACTCTTTGGCTCCTAGCATGGGAGAGGAGCTAGTGGAGGCAAGGAGAAGAAGTGAAAGAGGGAGACAACGTTTGGGTCTCGATGTTAGTGGGGAAGTAGTTGAGGAAGTAGAAGTTGAACCTGTCATAGAAGTGGAAATGGCGGGGAACCAAAGGCAAGATGGAGCCACTCAAGCCCGTCAGTTGAACGATGCAGCGGAGGACGGGGATGAGCCGAGGACGATGGGGTACTATATCGCCCCAAGGCCAGCGGACATCCAATAGCCAATCCTACATCCTCTAGTGGTGGCAAACAATTTCGAGATCAAGCCGACTCTAGTGACTATGATACAAAGTAATTCTCTTTTCCATAGCCTTGAAAGCGAGTCACCAAGAGAGCACGTGCAGAGATTCTTGGAGCTCGCGGCGAGTTTCAAAATTAATGGTGTGACGGCCGAAGCCTTGCAACTAAGGCTTTTCCCTTACTCACTCTGGGGGAAGGCACTTAGGTGGCTGAACAACCGCCCACCTCGGTCTATCACCTCATGGGACTACCTCCTCAACAAGTTTATGACTCGTTACCGTCCACCTTCGAAGACGGCGGAGTGGAGAAAGAAGATTACACATTTCGAGCAAGAAGTGGACGGGTACTTTCTTCAGTGCCCGCACCATGGGGTTTAAGAACAGTTTCGGATAGAAACCTACTACAGAGGCCTAATGTAAGATGATAAAATTCTCATTGACTCCTTGTGTCAAGGAAAGTGTATGAATATGGCTCCACCGCAAATAACCGAGATACTTGAAGACATGGACCTTAGGGGATACGATTGGGGGTTGACTAGCAGTGGAAGTAGAAGCAATGATAGGGGAGTGAGAAGCGTGGGAGCGAGTGCTCCGCTTGAGGCGAAGTTGGATAAGTTGCTTGAGGTTATGCTTGAAGATAAAAGGCACAGAAGTCACCATTGATGAAGTGATGGAGAAAAAAGAGACAAGCAAGGAGGAGACCAACCCAAAGAAGGGAGAAGGGAAGTCCTCGAGGAATGAGAGGAAGACGACAAGGAAGGCTTTGCCGGTGGATGGATACACAGCACCTCTTCCTTATCCCACAAGGATGTACAAGGAGAGGTTGGATAATGAGTGTGGAGGTTTTATGGAAATGCTCCGCAACCTCCACCTCAACATCCAGTTCCTCGAAGGCATGGCTCAAATGCCAAGATATGCCAAGTACCTCAAGGGATTCCTCACCAAAAAGCCAAGGCTTGAAGGCCTCGCCAACCTGACTCTTGGCGAGGAGTGCTCGGCTTACCTCCTCGACCTCTTGCCCGAAAAGTGGTCCGACCTAGGTAGCTTTACTATCCCTCTTGATATTGGGAACCATCATATATACAATACCTTGGCGAGCCTAGGAGCTAGTGTTAATGTGATGCCCTACAAGCTTTACAAAAAGTGAGAAGTAGGTGAAATTATGACCTCTAAGCTTTGCATCACCTTAGCCAACCGTTCGGCCATTAGCTCGAGGGGTATTGCGTAGGACATGATGGTGAGAGTGGGAAAGTTTTGCTATCTGAGCGATTTCGTGATTCTCAAAATAAGTGAGGAATCGGATTTGCCACTCATCCTCGGTCGTCCCTTTCTTGCCACCACCAAGTCTTTGATAGATGTTAATGAGGGGACCTTAATTTTGAGGGATGGAAAGGAGAGAATCAAGCTTAAAATTGATCCTAGGGTTAGGAGTGATGATGTGAAGGGAGTAGTTTCAAATGATGTGAATGAGAGTGGAGGAGAGCCTTTCCAAGCAAACTCCACCATTACTTGTGTTGTCTTTGATAATGTTGAGCAGGAAGTTAAGAAGGGTCCTAAGCCCAAAGGATCGAGGATGAATACTTGGAGAAGAAAGATTAAGGGAGTTTTGGATCTGAAGAAGGGAGAGGCCAAAGCGAAGTTGCCCAACCAAGAGGACCAACTCAAGGAACCTAAAATGGGAGGCTACAAGCCTCGCCCCGAGAGTGTGGTGGATCAGCTCTCGGTCGCATCACATTTGAAGTCACGATCGATCCCCAACAGTAAAGCTAATGACGATAAACAAGCGCTTGTTGAGAGGCAACCCAACGAAGTTTTGTTTTCTTTTCCTTAGTTTTCGTTTAAGTGTCTTGTTAAGAGTTCGAGTGGTGAAGTGGTGTCCCCGTGCAGGGTGTTATGGTTTTGCGGTTTATAGTTGTGTTGTGATCGATTAGGAGGCGCGGAGGAATAGGTTGAGTCAAAAGTTTTGCAGAAGTTCCCTGTTTTCACTTGAGTTCACGGACGGATTGTTGAGTTCACGATCTTGTAAGACCGTTAACAGGCCAACACGACCGTGAACTGGGTACTGATGCATGTTCACCACCTGTCTACCACTTAGTTTTTACGGACGCGTTTAAGAGTTCACGGTTGCTAATACTTTGAATTGGGAACGCGTTCGTGAACTCTGAGCACTACCTATAAAAGGGGAGTGAACGGCGACTCTCACTTCACGACCAAAATCTCGCGCGGAAAATTTCAAATCTTTGCCGGAAAATGTGAAAACACGTCGCTGTTTCTATTTTCCCTGATTACGGCGAGCAAAACAAAAAACCAACGTCATACCCAGTCTCCTCTCCTCAAAACCGGCCTGTGATGTGAATTTGGGGAGATTTGGAGCACATTTTTTTCCGGCCATGTCACCCGCGGTGATTCTCCAATGAGCTTCCGACGAAGCTCAGGCGACCCCTCGCCGGTTAGTTTTCCGACCGTTTTTCACCGTCCTCACCCGCACCTCACTCTCCTATGTCCTACTTGAGTCTCCAGGTTTTTTTTTACTTTACCTTTGTGAATTGTGGAGAATCACGGTTGCTAATACTGTGAACTGGTTCCTCTCCCTCCTGGTAAGCGTGCGATTGACCGTTAATGGGTGTATAAGATTAAGTTCTTGCCGGATGGTTCCACTGAGCGCTACAAAGCGCGCTTGGTAGAAAAAGGCTTCACTCAGAGAGAGGGCATTGACTGCCATGATACCTTTGCATCTGTTGCCAAGCTGGTCACCATTCGTTGTCTGCTTGTCGTCGCAGTCACTCACGGCTGGTTCATCCATCAGCTTGACGTCAATAATGTTTTTTTGCATGGAGGTTTACATGAGGAAGTTTATATGAAGGTCTCGCATGGATTCAATCGCCCGGGTGATGAAAGAGTTTGTCTCCTCCGTAAATCCATCTATGGCTTGAAACAGGCATCACGGAATTGGTATCAAAATTCTTTGTGGCATTGATCGAGTTTGGATTTCGGCAGAGCATGACCGACCACTCATTGTTCACATACAAGACCACTACTTCTTTTGTGGTTTCTCTCATCTACGTCGACGATGTCATCTTAGCTGGTGATGATCTCTCCTTCATTCAGAGAGTCAAGCAGTTCCTACATGATCGTTTCACAATCAAGGATTTGGGTCCCCTTAAGTACTTCCCGGGCATCGAAGTGGGACGTTCTCCACGTGGATTTGTTATCAATCAGCGCAAGTACGTCTTGGACATACTTGCCGACTCTGGTCTACCTGCTGCCCATCCCAGTGCTTCTGCCATTGAACAGAATCACCAACTTAGTCGTACGAAATCACCTCCTATTGCTGATCTAAGTTCTTTTCGTCGCTTGGTAGGACATCTTTTGTATCTCACGGTTACTCGCCTGATATCACTTACGTGGTCAATCTCCTCAGTCGGGCTGTGCATGCCCCTACTCAGGCGCATTAGGATGCATCTCATCGAGTTCTTCGATACCTCAAACATTCTCCAGGCCGTGTTTTATTCTTCCCAGCCAATAATTCCCTCACTTTGACAGGTTTTTGCGATGCGAATTGGGCGGGTCGCCCTACTACTCGTCGGTCGACGACTGGTTTTTCTATACGTATTGGAACTGTTCCAGTTTCCTGGCGAACTAAGAAACAGTCTGTGGTTGCGCGATCTTCTGCTAAGGGTGAATACAGATCCATGGCTAGCACTGTCAGTGAAATCATATGGTTACGATCGTTTCTCACTGAATTAGGGGCCCCTCAATATTGCCCTACTCCTCTTTATTGTGACAGCCAGGCGGCTTTGCACATTCCAGCTAACCCAGTTTCCACAAGCGTACCAAGCATGTGGAAATGGATTGCTACTTTGTCTGGGAACGCGTCTAGAGTAATGACATTTCTCCTCGAAAGATTGGGACTGCCAAGCAACCTGTCGATCTCTTCACCAAAGGACTCGACGTCGATCATTTTCATTGTTTGTTGTCCACGGTTCGCATGTTTGATCTCCATGCCTCTGCTTGAGTGGGAGTATTGTGGAATGGCCGGTTTTTCGATTTGATCCATCAATCCGACCCAGCCGCATGTCTTGACCCGGTTTCCTTCTCTTTATTATTCATCTCATTGTCACATACATAGGCCTGGTCAATGTTGATGGTCGATTATCCTGTGTAATCATCAAAATCATCTAATGAAACAACTGAGAGCTCTGTCTCTCCGTAGAGTAGTCTCGTTCATCTAGAACGGGGAAACCACGTAAATCGAGTGTCCTGTGTTACGTTCTATATTTTCGCATATCGATTTTATTACAACCTTCCATAAATCGACCCCTTATTATCTTCTTCCACCCACGTAGGAGAACACAATCACACCTTTGAACCTGTCCGACACTACAACTTCCTCCAACAGCACCGACAACCATCCTTCATCAACCTCAACCATGTTTCATCCTTGTTGTTCGCCAAGCTTCTCTCCGTTGTCATATAAGTCGTTGTCAGGGAAAGGGACATACAACCAACGCGGTTAGATTATGTTCTCTGCAATATCTCAAGACCAGTAGGTAAGAATGATGAAATCACAACCTTCTTCAAGCTTCAAGTAACGTAGTTAGCTAACCATGGTCATTTTTGTCATAGCTTCGACGACATAGGCACGAGGGAATTGGACGACGATTAGCTCAAGGAATAACGACCCTAGTAACTCAAGTCAAGGTCTAACCACAAATACGAGGTAAGGAAGACCGACCCCTTGTGTCAAAATTGACATTTATGTGAGTTGTACAGGTTGTAGAATTCTGGAAAATTAGTGACTGAATTGCTGGTGTTTGGTCACGGTTTAGTGACCGTTATTAAAGGCCGAGCTATGAGAAATAGCCGCAGGCCTTTTGGGACGAGCAGTAATAGTTCACAGTGACCAGATCTTGGATCTGTCACTAAAAGTGGTGTATCAGTTGTCATTTAATCTCAAGTTACTAAACATCAGTTAGGTGTGATCATCTCGAATAAATTGTAAATTGAGAAATAGAGAATTTGTGAATTACTGTAATAAAGATTGTTAATAGGTAATTAGGTTAGTTGTCAGTTCGGATGTTATATATATATATATATATATGTTAACTTAATAGCGGTTCCTTAATCTGGTTAGTATGTTAATCTAATTAATTTAAGTTTAGTAAGCAAAATGTTAGTTTGTCCGGTAGAGTAATATGATTAATTAAATTAGATTGTAATATGGTAATTATTGTGGAGAGGAAGGTCAGATTGTCCAAGTTAAATTATGGATAAGTTTATTACTTTTAACCTACCAAAATTGTATGAGAAATTAACCTAATGATTGACATCCTAAGTTGGTTAATAGATCAATCGGTGAGTAGTTAGGTCGAGGGCTATCTGGAAAAAAAAATATGCGGGATGCTTTGTCCTCTTCCTTCAAGTTTTGCATCGGGGTTGGAAGCCTGCTCATCGGACTGGTCGAGGCCATTCTTCATGCTTGTGTGGCGAATAAAAGAGCCGATGAACACCGCTTTAGGATTTGCTTGTCTGGGAAAGCTGCAATGGCCCAAGATTTGAGGTGGTTTCGTCCTCAGACTCCCACGAACGTGGACCGTGGCGTCAAGCGTGTCCCTCGTGTGGTAAAGCGTAGATACGTCTCTGGTTGTAGAAAGCGCAAGTTTAATGACTGTGAATCTGAGTTGTATTCACGTCTCAAAAAATCTAAGATTTCCCAAATGATGGGATAGAGATTCAGCCTACCGTCATCGCTGGAACTGGAGCTGGGGTTGATAGATCCCCCGTGCACGAATACTCCGACCGCCGGTACATACGACAGCCTCTAGGGCTTCATATTAAATATGACTGTGGATTGGCCGGAGACGCCTCCCAAGGCACTGGATCGAGACGATCATCTATGTAGGATCACTTGGCTGGATGTGATTCTTCAGGCGAGGAGTGAACCAGACTCTGGCAACGACGTTCCCGCCAGTGAAAAAGCCGGGACACGTCGGCAATGAGAGGATTGGGCGGGTCAGAAGATTTTCTCCCTTAAGAGATTCTCCGAGATCTTAGGAGGGAGGGATAATTCTATTTCTCTTATTATCCGACCGACCACTTTTCAAATTCAAATTCCTAAGCCTAATAGAATTCTACTTAAAACGAAGGCGACAGCTACGTCTCCTTGTGGAAGGGGTGAGCTAAATACTTTATATAAATAACTTTTTTTCAGGCCGGCTTTTCTTCCTAATCGAAGGAGAAACATGCTTTTGGAGATAATTAACCCCCCCCCCCTCCACAGAAGCGTGTCGGTGTTATCGAGTTCCCAGGTAAAGGGCTGCCTAGAGAAGGCTCCTCCAAGGGTCACTACTCCTTAACTCCTGGTCATCTGGTGCCCCCCCCCCCCCCCCCCCCCCCCCCCCCCCGCTTGAGATGGTTTTGATGTCATGCGCTAAGACTAACATCACCCCATCCCTACCTTTGTGTTTACAGGTGCCAACGACGACTCATGTCACTGATGATCAAGTGGTTCAGTTTTCCATGGACGAGGTCCAATCCGTGAGATTTTTCACCTCTTGTTTTTTGCTTGGAAGAGTTTTCGCGGACAGCAACATGATGATCGAGGAGCTACGCGATGCTTCAAATACCCAGTGGCAAGGAAGAGGCCAGATCCGAGTCTCAATGACCAAGCATGGCCTGGTGGAGTTTGTGGTGCCAAGTGAAGAGGCCAAAACCTCGGTCTTGAAGCGTAGTCCGTGGATGCTCAGAGATAGAATCGTAAGCTTGCGATCTTGGACTTCGACGATCACAAAGGCAATTTTTGATGCCCTGGCAATTACCCCATTCCGTGTCAAGCTCTGGGGAATCCGGGAAGATGTTTGTACCAAACAGTTAGGTCAGAAGCTGGTATCCCCTACTATTGGGAAAGTCTTAGAAGCAAGTGTCTTCACCCTGCAAGGAGATTGGGGAATATTTTGTGAAAGTTAGAGCTCTTATGGATTTCACCAAGCCTTTGAGATCACAACTGTTTGCGACAAGTGAAGAGATTGGCTGATTTTGTGTCCATCTTCGTTATGAGTTCTTTCCTAGCTTCTGCTTCCATTGTAGACGTGTGGGCCATATTCAACGAGACTGCTCCTATGATCCCCCCCCACCCCCCCGCCACCCGGAAGGAAAATTTTGCCCCGCATATGACCACAAAAAATATAGGCCAGAAAATTTATGAGAATGATAACACTTCTCATCCTTTTAGAGGGTCACACAATATGGTATGGGTCAATAGGGCGGTTCGTGCACATCAAACTAATTTCGCTGATTCGAGCATTTTAACTAGGCTCTTCTGGCCAAAATTGGATGGTGTATCCTTTTTGAGCCCCAATCTCTTCTTGCCCAAGTCTATAAAGGTAAGTATTTTCCTAATGGGCATTTCCTTAATGCTAAGGCTCGCTCTCGCCCGTCGTGGGGGTTGGCAAAGTATCTTGTTTGGTCGACAGTTATTGGAGATGGGATTAAGATGGAAAATTAGGAATGGGCGGTCGGCATCTCTGCAGCACTCCACCTGGATCCTTCAGCTCCAGCTTGATCCCCTGCGATATAATCCGCAGGTTTTACTAGTCAGGGGTGACCCACTAGCTACTGAGGTGACTTGTTAGGGGGAAGGGCGTTGTTGTGATATCAGACTTAGTCACTGGTTTGACCCACCTACTTGTCGTTTTATTAAAGCTATTCCCCTCCCGCGACAGAATTTGGAGGATAGGCTCATATGGCATGATACAGCTGATGGGGTGTTTTCTGTTAAGTTTGCTTACCACTTGAGTGTCTCACTTGATAGGAGGAGGAGTAGTTGGAGGGCTACGGCTAGTTGGATGGATAAGACCGGTTGGATTCGGTTGTGGGAGGCTAATATTCCCCCCAAGTTAAAGGTGTTTGTCTGGCAGATCCTAAATCGAATCTTACCAACTACGGAAGCTCATTGGTAAGAAAGTCCCTGTGCTCCCTCGTTGCCCGGTTTGATGGGATAGTCCTGAAACTATGGAACATTTATTTCTAGATTGTCTAGTGGCACGTGCCCTTTGGGGCTATTCGGGGCTGGAGTACTTAGGGGAGGGGCTTCCTCGCCATACTTTCCCTCTATTTCTTAAAAGGCTGATGGCTTTAATTCAGTAGCCGACGTTGTTCATGGCAGTTGTCGCCATCCTTTGGCGAATCTGGCGGTCTCGGAAATGGGTGGTCTTTGAGGGAAAACAGTTTGGGATCCCTGCTTTGATGCGTCAATTTGCTCAGCAATATGAGGAATGGGTGCGGCTGTCGGTGGATAAAGCTCTTTAGGCCTTTGTTCCTGGTACAACAACCTGGGCTGGCGGTTCATACTGGGGTTGTTTGTATGTGGGATGGGACTACTAGGAGCGGATCTCATTCAGCGGGCAGGTTGGTTCTTAAGACCCCAACTCGGGAAATCCTTATGGCTAAAGGGATTCAATTTCCTATAATCGATGACCCCATGGTGGTTGAACTGCTTGTCCTTCGTGAGCGTATTATTTGGTGTCTGGACCATGGCATCACGGATATAACATTTGAAGGGGATGCTAAGCTGATCATCGACCAAAATCAGGCGGGTCGATACAAGGGACAACCGGTTGGGTGCGATTCTTGAAGAAGTGGTGTTGGTTTTTACCAGCAACCCCGAGTTTAGTGTTCGATTCGTAGTTCGGAGTAGTAATAGGGTAGCCCATATGGTGGCTAGAAAGGCCCTCTCTTTGTATCCGACTATGAGTCGTTTCTTCGATTTTCAGTCCTGGCTGATCTCCAGGATATAACTATCTATTCTTTGAATCAATACATGATTATCTTTTGTAAAAAAAAAGTTGGTTAATAGATTGATTGGGAGGAATTTAATTCAAATTGAGGGATCCTTTTTCGTAAGTAAATCCAATAGTGTTTGAACTAGCTCGGTGATTTTCAAGAATTTCAAAGTACTCCACCCCATTAAATCTGTCGCTAAGAACCCATAAATTCAAACGTTCTTACTTCTATTTTGCTATAGATCACAAGGGCGAATCGCCTCTTTTAGAGCAAGTATCCGTTGAGTGAAGGCAATATCATTTTCACGCTACTTGACATAATAAGGTGCGTGGTTTGAGGGAACTAGTTAGTATTCCATTCTGAATTATGTATGATGCACGTTACTTGAATTAAATGATTTGCTCTTATGTGCTATCGGTGTTTAAGTTTATGCATTTACTTCATTCACGTTTAAGTTATGATTTATGATTATTATGCACGTTCAGCATAAATAGCATCATGTTCATCAAAGATCAAGTCGAACCCAAGTTGCTAAGTTAAGTGAGTTATAAAGTTGGATCTTCCCATTGTGTGGAAGATCTCCAAGCTCTTCAAGTATGAGAGCAAGTATGACTTAATTATATTTCTCCTTGGGTGAGAGATTAAATAAGGCAAGCATGCATAAGTCAACAAGTTACTAAGTAAAAAAAAGTTAACCTCGCTTAGCTAGCCACTTTTGACGATGGATCACTACTGGACGGCGATATGTAACGCAGTTTCCATTGCCCATGTTTAGGTATGCAATCGGACGACGATACGCAATGCGGTTGGCATACCTCAGTTTTGACACCGGACGGCGATACGTAACGCGGTGGTCATAACTCATGTTAAGCAGGTAGTGGCGCCAGCTAAGTCGAGGTAGCTAGGGGCCCCGTCATAAGATAAAAGATGCAAGATAGTTCAAGAAATCCTAATAATGTACCTCTAATAATGTACTAAGACAATGCATCACATTTGCACCCATATGCATGTTGTTTGATTTTATATTATATGTAAAGAATGGAATATAGGATTAGGACTGACCCCAACGCCCGCATTCAGGAGTTGCAAGCAAGCAGGAGTATTTGGATCATCAACTAAGATAAAGTTGTATCTCGAGATGTCATCGTCGCCAGGGTTAGTGATTTTGGAAGTTTCCAAGTGAACCACCTTCACTTGTGTAATTTTATTAGTAGGCTTGAGATTGATGCTCATTTATGATTTTTGTAAAGAGATATTCCTATCGTGATTTGA